GACTTTGTGAGCTATGGTGAGAGACTTGAGAGAAGACGGGTGAGGCCGCAAGGTGATGGGTCGACGGGATGCCCGATGTGGGGGGTTGGTTGAAGTCGAAATGCGAAGGTTGAACGTCCTGAGGTGTAGGAGGAATAACATGAGCAGAAGGGTGAGGGTGGTGATGTTGGTGGTGGCTATTAAAGGTAGGAAAGTGTGTCGACGAGGTTGGATCATAGGGCAGCAGCGGGGGCGGCTGCGGATAGTTGGAGTAAGGGAACCACTGATTCTGTTCATACATGGCGTAGGTATTGGGGGGAAGAGAAGACGAGGAAGCAGAGGTCGAAGTGTTGAAACCGGCAGTCAGAGCTGGATCGGTGACAGGCGGTATAGGGAAGAAAGAGGCAGAATCGGACGAGGCGTCGTCGAAAGATATCGGATGTAGGTCGTGACCTTGGGAGTCGGACATTGACATGCCTGGAAGCATGTATATAGACTCAGATGACACGGACGGATTATGCCCTCGACTCGAAGGAGCCGGCGAAGGGTAACAGAGGCCGGGGAGGGAAGGTGAGCAAGTCAGCAAGGCGCTTTTATCGAATTCGTCGAATTCACTGGGCGGGGGGGTCATGGAGAAGATGGCGTCCTGGGTCTCAACGGCCATGGCGTGCAGCAAAGGCACTATCTTCCTCTTGCTGATTTTGTGTTAATTTGGGAACTCGGACGCGGCGGCGGATGGTCGGACTGAGGAAGGAGACGAGGGAGGGTGGTGTTGCTTGTGCTGCTGCTTTGCTTCGTGGTTTACATATATATCCTTTGGATTTCGGGGAGGGGGGTGGTGAGCTTTCTTTCGGTGAGATGCCACATCCCATGGATCCCAGAGTTTTTGAACGGGCTATCTGGGCAGTCAGTCCTAAGCTGCTGGCAAGTTTCAAAACATAGAAAGTCCATCAACTCATGGGGCGAAGAAGGACATATGAATAGTAGGACCACCACGCACCAACACAACACCGAGCCCAAGCACGATTGCCTTTTCGCTGGACCATCATGGTTTAGGGCGAAAAGGCAATCCTCGTAGGGCTAGAATCGACCCCGGTCTGGTTGCTGACAGCATCTCTACCATGCCAGGACCCAGAAGCCAGGGACCCAGGGGGGTGGGAAGGGAGGGGGGAGGACCCAGAGGGTAGATCGCCAGTAGTTTAGAGCAGGTTGCATGGATGGCACTGATGGATGATGATGATGCTGGAGATGGTTTGGAGGCTTGGAAAATGGCGGGTCCCAGCGGCCGAAGCGGCCAGGAATGAGCCACACTTTGATCCCCAGCCCATCATGGTAAGGCACGGGTAAGGTTAGAGGTGGTGCAGGGTGGTTGCAGGTGCTGGGGTGGTCAAGGTGGTAAAGTGGTAAGGCGGAAAAGCGATCAAAGGGAAATTGAAACGAGGTGGAGAAGGTTTTTTTGCTTCTGCACTTCTGCACTTCTGAGGAAGGAACAGTCGCCAGAGAATTAGGGCAATCGCGACCAACTCGTACCAGTAGACCGTTACGCATGCAGACGGTGATACCGGCGGAGATGGGAGCTTCTTCACGGCTGCTTTGCTGATCATCACTTGTCATCTCACCGTACGCCCGTATTGGAGATACTCCCATACGAATGACAATGGCCAATAAGCCAATGGCTGGCTACTCCCGACTGTGGAGCTTCCTCGTTTGCTAGTCTGTCACTCTTTTTGTCCTTGTCTCTTTTTTTTCTCATCTCTGTTGCCTGTTCTTCAAGGCTCCTCCAAATGACACCCCCCGTCCCCGTCACTCGCGCCGCCCTTGTCTTTGTCCCCCGGGGTCCCTCCCTCCCCCAAGTCACCGCCCCCCTGGGTACTTTAGGGGGAACACTAAGGGCTTCAGAACTTCTTGGGGGTGAGACTGTCATGACCGCCGGAGCACCTACACACTCCAAAAAAGGTGGAAAACTTCTGGGTATGGTTAGGCACTTGGATGGCTCAGGTGGCTCTGGTGACACTGGCAATTAGGGAAGGCCAACCAATGACCGGTGGTTTTTGGTTTATTTCAGAATTTGGCCCGTTAGTGCGAGGAGGAGGACATGTCTTTGTCCAAGAGGAAGAAACAACCTTGGAACAAAGACATAACCAGAGGTACATGCACTGGTGTGTCTACGAGTAACTCGCAGGTACCAGGGATCAACTCGGTATTGCCATATCTCTCAGTTCTTCTTCCTAACAGAGATGCGTGCCGTGCCAATCTGGACTGGTGATTGGGGACTGGATAATGGTCACTTGTACTCGTACGCCCCGAGGTCTTTTGAAGCTTGCGGCTCGTTTACTTTCAAACACCCCTTTGGTGTTCTTTGTTTGGTGGTTTTTGTCATACGCCAGCATGGCTAAGGTTGCATGCTGCTAGCACTGCTCCCCATACTCGTACATTGTTCTAACTTCGGGTTCCTGAGCCCCCCTCCCCCCTCCCTCAAGCCCAGAAAGAGTAGATCGACGAGCTGAGCAAGTACTGTACAAACGCAAAATGCACGAGTGATTTTTGCTTTGGTTTGATTTGGTTGAACCGCCCGGATTTTGGGGTTTGGTGCGTCACTCGGACTTAATATCGTGCCGTGTCTAAAATACATTTCGAAGCTCGGAGACATTAGTTGGTCCAGCTTCCGTTGGCTCCTTTGTTTCCGCCGTGATCGCCCTTCCCGGTCAGCTCGACCTCGCCCAGATTCTCTCTTTGAGTTTAAGGGGGGCAAAAACCCGCGACAAAGACGTTTCTGACTCACTGGCGCAAGCGTTGGTGGCACCGAAAACCCAACAGTTTGTCAGCGGAGAGTCGGGCGGATTGATGGACGATTGAGAATCTCTGGGGAGGGGGGAGGATTGCAAATAATCGACACCCGCCCGCCAATTTCAATCCGATTGGCGATCAATACCACTCATGGAGGGCTTTTGGTTCTTAGCGACAGGCTGCGGCGGCTCTGAACGTGGGTGATCAGCAAATTCTGATATGTCATCCGTGGCTCGGTGCATAGAGCTGAGGCGGAGTAGTATTCCATGGTAGCAAGCCGAGTCTTGTGTCGCCTTGACTGACAGATTGTACGATGTAGGGATATTCCCCTGGCAGAGTCCAGCATATCGCAACTATGATCCGGGGTAAGACTGCGTGAATCTCGCCTTGAATTCAGGCCAGCCGCAGTGGCCGTATACAAGCCATACGAGGTATATCTTCCTTGATCCAGGTATGCCACGTTGTTCTTGGTCTGTAAATCGCAGTTGTAAACGAGCCTTCAGCTTTTGGCGATCCCCCATGTGGCTGAGAGGCTCTTGCTGTGACGAACAGGCTCATACTAAAACTCGCAGTAATAGCCCGAAAGGGTATCTCGCTCGTCCCGGGTAAGATTATGTAGACCGTCTCTTTGCGTTCTGTCCAAGGATGTAGATCTCCAAAGTCATGCTCGGGTCCGAGGTATCTCGTGTCCTTTGTCCGATCATTCTCGCACACTTGTTTGGTGTCTCAGGTCTTGACGGTTCGAGCATAGCCCTAAACATTCTTGTCCTCTTTGTGACAATCGGTGACTGCCGATCCCTCGACACATAGCCCGTTTGAGAGTGGTGTCGTATAGTAGATTGGCGCTAAGGTGAGGAGATTGCGTGGATGATCGCTCCCGATCACCAACTCGTATTCCATGTATCGTATCCATACTTCGTGTAGTGAGTCTGAACGAGCTGCAGAATTTCAACCACGATACTCAACGTTCTTAGTCTTCGGACCCATTTTATGATTATTCGTCGCCATGGGACATCTTTTGGTGTGTTTGATTGATCCTGACGTAAGCTAGACCTTCGCTATTTCTCCCCCCTATAAACGAATATCCGACCAGGGAATATGATTGGCCCCTTTTCACCGATAGACTGTCCTTTTGCACCTCCATATACCTCGTCCAAGCATCGAACACGACTGTGCTTACCCACATCCACTCAGACAATGGTGGCGTTCAAGGCGACTATTGAAACCGACTAAGGTAGCCGGTCAGACCCCCTGTGCTACAGCATGAGGCCAAGGCAGATGTCTGAGATAACAGAAAGTTCAGACCGACTTCAAAGCCCCAAAACCATCATGGAAATTTGACGTCACCACACGGCCAAAATGGCTTAGAGATGATTGAATCCAGGACGGAATGTGCCCAACAATAGATAGAGATGGGTGAAGGCCGTTCGCACAGAGGGTATAGTTTGGGAACGACCATTTTGTCCCGCACCTTGGACGGATAGGGGAGCCAAGTTGCGAAAACTTGTTCCCAGTCTGGCAACGTGCTTCGAGTGATCAGACAAAGTTCCCACGTGGAGATGCAGGTGTTCGACGGGGGAGGACGGCACAGTGGTAGGCCTTTCTTACCACCCCCCAAATCCTGGGTATTCTTCAATCCCGGAAACCTGGCTCACCCACCATCAGGGGCAAGGCATCCCAATCCGTGGAGCGAGGGACCAACCGATGCTCGTAGATGGGGAATTGTAGTCTGACATTCTCTCCATGCCATGCTTATGCAAGGAGGAACGGAGTCAACGACATCAGCGCATGTAATTTTAAAGCGCAAGCCATGACAGATAAGCAGGACTCACGGCGCATCGTGGGTTTGAGTTTCCTAAGACTGAGAAGAAGTTCCAGAAAATAACATTCGGTAGATCAGGAACGAAGACAAAGGAGAGGGTTGATAGTTCTAATTGTCTCACGCTGCTCTTTCAGTATAATTTTTGACTAGCCATTTATGGAATGGCCCGTCTCACTATCTTGGCATTGTTCTGTTCGTATGGCTCACATCACATGACTGGCGTGCTTGGACTTGGTAGGGCTGATTTGTTGCTGTTTGCACTTCGCCCATCACCTTTCCCAGTCATGCAATCTGTTGGTATTTCGCCATCACTAGGAGTGTCCTTTTGCCGCTGATAACTCTGATCGTTCTTTCGATGTAACATTTTCACTACTTTGGAAAAAGTTGCTGCGCACCTGGAGTGTCCCCAGGCATGTTGCCACCAGGCTCGTCAGGGGCGGTGGACCCCGAGGACCGCAAAATCATCGAGAAGCTCGCGAAATTGCAGAACATGTACTCTCAAGTCAGTTCATTTGCCTTTTGTTTGACCAATCACGCTCTTGCTTCAGGACCAATGCTGACCTCCTTGAAGATTGGCGACCTTCGGACTTTACTGCCCGAGAAGTTGATCAACCCGGCAAGGGTGGCTCTGGACCACCCTGGTGATTATGAACCGGCAAAGCTCGCTGCCTATTTGCAGACGGCAGCACAGGCAGGGAGTCGCGACGTTGAGAGATTCAAGAAGGACTGGCACAGTGACGACGTGCGCGAACTCTGGCAAACCGTCCACGCCAATGACTTGCCCCAGGGTGGAGATGCATGGGCATTCGACTATGCCAGTCTTCTGCGGGATGCTGCTGCAAATGAGCAGACATCCACCACTGAAAAGGACGCTAGCCATGCCTTGCGGCCCCCATCTGATGCCGAAACGGCGAAGATGGTAAATGACTTTCGTGCAAGGCATCCAGACGTGAAGATACACGTGTCCAGTGAAGCATCGCCCTTGCCAATCGACATCAGCGTTTCTCGGTTTGACTTTCGAGTCGAAAAGAGCGAGGCTGCCGACGGGACAACGTACAACGTCATTGACAAGTCTGGCACAGAAGCGTCTGGTGTATACGACCTGCGTGCTGACGTCGTTGAGAGCATTCGAGAGTCGAAAGAGATAGGCCGGCTTGAAACCCTCCTTGTATGCATACCAATCGCGTCATGGCTCCAAATCGTCCTACTAACATCCCGATTCAGGAGATAATTTATTCGTACCGCGATGTGATGACGAGACCGTGCGACAAGTGCAAGAAGCTTCTCGACACCAAGAAACTGAAACTCCCGGTGATTCGACAAGCCAATCCCTCAACGCAGGACGGCCAGCCGCCATTCTTGGCACTTCATCGAGTTTGCAGGTGATTGTTCCTAGTTGCATATACACCAGTGCACTCCGCAAGCACCCGGCGCCGGCGTCCAGTTACCATGAAGCACCTGAGTGGTGCTTTGAGACGAACCCCTTGACGCGCAGAGACTACACTCTCTGGTTGGCGACATCCTCTCCCTCCGCCACCGAGGTGTGTGCGCTGTCATCGACCACGGCACCCAGCTAATGGATGATTTTTGTACATGGCCTCAGTTCTCCGCTGAGATGTCATGTTATTTGAAGAGAAGTATGATGATTTATAGTCGTGATATGAGTGCCATGTACCAGCGATGGCAGAGTCCACTAGGCATATTGCTGCGAAAGGAATTCAGGATTGAACTTGCAGGCCGTTGTCCCGGAAGTTCATCATGTACTTGGGCTACATTTGTATGTAGATTCCCTCTTAGGCGGCACCCTAAGTGAGTGACATCTGTCTGTGAATGACCTTGACCATGCCGTACAACGCAAAGTCACCCTCAATATTCTCCGTATGTCCCCTGCCTCTTCGACTACGCCAACGGTGTGCTCAAAACCATCTACTTGCCAACCAGGAGGCGACCAACCCTAGCATCTTCAGTTGCTCCGAATGTCTTTCACTGTACCAACACATCAGTAATTCAACGTCACCACCGTTACTACAACGTCGAGCTCTTGGGTGACCAATGTCTGGACATGAGCTTGCGGGACATGGAGCGCATCGGTCAGCAAGGATTCAACCCTCAGGGTTAGCAAAGGAGGCAATGAGTGTCGGTCATGCGAGGAGGACTACAGATGAGCGAATGCGATTAGGGAACAGCTTATCAGACAACCTGAGCCTTCTCAGAATCGCCAGTCATCCAGACAGGATCCCAGCTGCCGCCGAGTCGACACTGGACGCGCACGCCAGACAAACACCGCTGCAGAGGAAACGAACGGCAGACGGGGCGATCAAGCACCAGCACAGCTCACGGATTTCTGATCAGAGAGATGAGCTTCGGCTACACAGCGACTACAAACGAACCTCGGACGTGAAGATGAAAATGGACCTGGACGTCTTGAGGCGCCGTATCGCGTTGATTGAAGCACAAGAGCAGGGGAACACCCAGCATAGGTCAGTGTCGAAACGAGCAAGAGGGCAGCAGCAGCAACTGGCTGGACGGGGGCAACGGCAACAGCAGATTGGAGATAGACAAGATGCTGAGACGAAAAACAATCTGACAGACTGGAAGGAAGCGATCATCCGGTGAAGTCGCTTGATCAAGGCCAGCAAGACGAGTACGACATACTACGTGCCATCTTTGCCTAGGGAAAAGAATAGCCAGAATCTGATGAGCCAGTCCCTACATCTCCCAAACTGCGGTACTTGTACTTGTACACCGTAACCAACCCGGGTTTTTAATAGTTCCCGACTTTTATTCAAGACCACCATGTGTTCGCAATCACCCCTCGGTGAGTGGACACCGCTTTGCTGCGGTACCAGTACAAGAGAGACGCCAGGTACAAGCGTGCTCTGTCAGAGGCCGCCAGGAGGTGTTTGACCACAAGCCCGATATCCATCTTGGACTGGGACAGAGGTCTCGTGGTAGACGAGTAGAGAGATGACTGAGATACTCGGTAACGTGATATCAGACATGAGGCTGGCGAACCAGTGGCGAGGCAGATGTGTTTGTGTGTGCATGTGTGGGTGGGTGAACCAAAATAAGAACAGCCCAATGCCCGAGACAGTCAAGATGGGCCGGGCAGAGAAGTGGCTTAGTTGGTTGGTGGTTGGTTGCGACGCAAGGAGGGTGTGGCTCTGCCCTACCAATAATACCGTTTGGCGTTTGACGGGCTCGTTGTGTCGCTGGGTCGCGTACTGGCCGCTAGTCCTTGTTGAGTCTCTCTTGTTTTGCGGGTTTCCGGATTCCGTCGCCCAGGGTGAGACAAGCCTCTCTTGTGTCTTTTTTCGTCGTCCTGCGCTCCTTTCTAGACTCCGAACGTCAAGTCACCTTGTCGTCTGTTCCTTACCAGACTCTCGCTATTGTCAATCAGTCCTTCGCTTTTCAGTCGTTGCTTTTTGCGTTGTCTATGCTACACCACGATCCGGTTGTAACGAAGTGTTTCCTAGGAGAACCTACTGCCTCTCACCATTGAATAAAGTGCCACGGACGACCACAGACGAAACCGCCTCTTTCAACGTCCGAAATGAAGGGCTCCGGCCTCTTCTCTCTCCTTTCCTCCCTCCTCCTCTTCTTTGCAACCTGTTCTTCGGCCTGGCCCTGGCCGGAGTTTCTTGACAGCAAGGTCGACGCTCTTATTGTCCCCCGACAAGACCAGAACCAGAATTCGGATGGCGACGATACTTCCTCAACTGGGAGCACATCTGTTACCAGGTCCGCATCCTCATCAGGCTCCCAATCTGGCTCAACGATAACTCCGTCGGCGTCTTTATCGGGGTCAGGGTCAGGGACGTCGGGACTTCGGAACGCGACCACAACAAGGAGCACAAAAACAACTCCCATTGACCCTCGTCTGCCTCCTGGAGGTATCTCTCTCATCACACCCGCCGCAATTGATGGCCCTCAGTACTACAAGGTTGGGGACTTTGTCACTTTTGCTTGGAACTATACTTCTCTGTCCGTCACCCCGTCCGCAATCGATGTGCTGGCTTCCTGCGCCTTGAACCAAGCCACCTACACACTCTCTTCCAATATGTCGGTGAAGGAAACGGGTGCTCTTACCTGGGATACTGGTGAAATGTTCGCAACAGCGACCAACCCTTTCCCAGTCGCCAGTTATACCCTGATCATCCACGATTCGTCGAAAGATGTGACCGACATTCCAAGCGCTGGGTTTTTGGGTGCTTTTGAGCAGTACGTCTTTGGGATGTACACAGGGTGAGTCTACTGTCATATTTCTACAAGATTGGAAGGCTAACAAGGTTCAGACAACCCTATACTCCGCTGAACGAATTCAAATGTGCGACCTGCAATGGCGCATTTTCCATACATGAAAAGCAAGCCCTGGGCGTGATTCTGACAACATCAGCCATCACCGTCTTGTCCTTCACATGGTTCGCCAGGGGATTTGGCGTGTTTTGAAACCGGGAGCTCTCCCTACGACCAGCTCGACGGATATATTTGCCATATATATCTATAGTATCTAACGACCACTAATTGGATGACAACATCCTTTCTGACGAACTAAAAACATTCAAGTACAGCGGCAGTTTTGAGCGGAACCTTGGTCAGTTCGCAAAGGATGGTGCATTATATCGGAAGGCAATCAAGGATTCATCGGCAACCTACATGACGGGGAAACGGAAAACGGCATCCGGAGTGTCCAGGGATTTGGAAATACAGGAGTGAATATTTTGAGGCTAATGAAAGAGAACTTCCCAAAGCGGAAAAATATTGACTTCTTGCTTCGATTCTCAAGTTGTCGGGCAGGGAAATGTTTACTCTGATCAATTGACCGCTGCAGATATGACCCTGATCCCTCGGCCTTTGCACTCAATGACCTGAAACAAGATGAAGGGAGCTGGACAGCCAACAGATGCCATGGCGGAAGACCTCCCGACCGGAACCGCTCGACATTCTATCGCTTGATACTCTCTTGATATTACTCTCTCCATATTGTGATTGGTGACATTTTCCATGTGCCGGCTCCTCCTATTTGTCAAGTGGAAAGGCCTTCCGGACGAATACGATACGGTCATGATGGTCTGGATGTCCGGCACGATTTGGCTTCTCGATCCGCCGCGGCAAGGAGCCTGAGAAAGTGACGGTAAGGAATGTGAACCACGAGCCAGATGGCCCGCGGGGGGGGGGGGGAATCCCATGCGAATTTGAGTTGTCGAGAACGAGATGAGTGGTTGTTCACGTACACCCAGATTTCATTCTGTCTGCCTGCCTGCCTACCTGCCCGCCTGCTGATATCTCTGGTTTTGTCAAGAAATGCTGCGTCTCCCTTGTTTGCGCCTTGGTTGATCCGTTCGGCATGAGATGGCAGCAGTCCTGGCCGGGCTGGGCCGGGCCTTGATGCTTGTCTACATACATCGTGTCATGTACTAATTTGATGCCATGAAGCCGTCCTTCCCCGCCACGGACACAGTCACAGTCACGAATATATATGATGGAGAGGGACGACGCAAACAACCAACTCAAGACACAGACACAGTCACTGACACACAAATCCCTCTTCCCATTGAGTTTTGAGATACTTGCCCCTTAAAAAAAAGTACAAAAGCCTTTTCCCCCTTTGGTTGTGCTCCCTCCCTCCTTGCTTCAACCCATCACACATCACACATCATTCATTACATTCTTTTTTTGCTTCTCTCTCCCTCTCTGACTCCCTCTCTTGTTCTTCATTCACAATTGTACACCCGGACTGTGAACCGAAAGGAACAACCAACCAACCAACCAAGAGGCCCCCTTCCCCCCTTTTCAACTGTTTGTGATTCCTACCTACACGCTCTCAGAGCCATTCCTTGGCCATCACTACCATCAGGGAGCAAGCCGCTAGGGTGGAGGGCTGCATCGCCATCGACTTCGACTACGACTTCAGCCTGCTTGCCTGCTTGCTTGCTTGTTAGCCAGCTAGCTAGCTACCTGAGGGCTGGTTGAGGGGATACTTAACCTCGTTTCCAACTCCAACATCTCACATTGACCCATTCACTCAGGCCAGCACAGCCAGTCTAGTTAGTTCCCTGGATTACAACGCAAAGATACGTTTCTTCTATCACTCGAACTCAACTAGAAAGACAAAAGTCACCCTTCTCGCTTCTCTCTACTCTCCACACCATTCTCCCTGTCTCTCTGGGAGAGAAGGACCACGACTCCTCCTCCAAAAATCCCACACCGACCAAGTCTTTGCTTACACACACACACACACACACACCGCCGGATTCTCTTACAAAAGCGAAAGCCGTCAAATTTCAACCATGCCTCTTCCGACCACGTCAGGTTCTTCTTCTTCAACGTCCAAATCCCACCGGGACTCGAGATCCACAACAACAACCGGGCACAAAACGTCAACCCTCAGTTCCTCCTCATTCCCCCCTCGTACACCGATAACCCAAGAACACCAAGCACACCAAGCACAACCCCCAAAAAGACCGGCAAACTGGACGCCCAGACACGACGCCTTTATCCGCGAACAGGCCCGCAACGGCGAAGACGCAGAGAGTATCCGCATCCTCTTCGAGGTCGAGTATCCCGGCGTCAGTGTGAGTAAGGCTTGGGTCGTCGAGAGGATCAAGGTCACCGCGGCGTCGGCGTCAGGCAGGACTAGGTAGAGGTTGAAGGCCGCTGGGTAGAGAAAGGGGGAATGTTTGGGCGTGCCCTAGACGGGGAAGGGGAAGGGGATGGGATAGAGGCTGGGAAATGGGAATGGAAGGGACGGAAGAAGGGTACCTGTCTTGTCTTGTCTTGATCCATCTTGGCTTGATTGGTTGTCCCGTACTGGCATTCCATGGCATGCTCATGCTCATACTTTGAAATTGGAGCTTCGAGCTTCGAGCTGCCAGCCTTCAACATGCAAGCAAGGAATAGTGGAGAGGCCAAAGTGAGCGGGAAGAGAGAGGGAGGGGGGAGAGACAATGTGTGTGTGTATGTATGACGGAAGCAAAAAGAGCAGAAGCAGAACAGAACAGAACAGGGAAAAGTATTCAATCGATCAACCAGTCAGTCAGACCGCCGGCACCACGGGGGAAGCACCAACGACGCAGGACAGATCAGACAGACAGACAGACACGCTGTTTGGGTTGGGTAGAGTTGGACATGGCTACCTATTCGAGGAACTCCTAATCTATTCTTACCAACTCCCTGCTACCACCAGCGGGACAGGACAAGACAGGACGCATTAATACCCCTTCTCTACCCACCCGTTTCTGTACGGTCCATCCATTTATCTTATCCATAGCCATGATAGCAGCCACTCGTCCTTGGTGGGCACTCTCGTAGAGATGACAACCACAAGAGACGTCTGGAGCAACCAAGAGATCAAGTACCAAAGAATAGGAACCAGCAACCATCAAGCTCAAGCTCAAGCTTCGTCATCGATTAACGCGCAACACAGACGTTGTTCGTAGGTTATATATAGGATACCTTGGTATATAGAAATGTCTGTGTGTGAATAGAGCCGGGAAGTGAAGGAGCCACAATCGTAGCAGTTGTAGTACAACATTCCACCTGAAAACAAGCATGCCCTGTCTCAAACGACTCCATCCAAAGCAATTCCCAATTCCCTGTTCCCATTCCGCGAGGGA